TGAATCACCAACTCTGACTTCCCCTAATGAGGTTGACAGTTGCACAAATGGCTATAGAATGTGATCAGTCACAGAGTCAGAGGTAAGGAACAACCGAAGTGGTGAAATCCGAGAAATCTTAATGTCAAATGCCCAGCACAATTGATGGATCCTATCAATCTGTTCTCTTTTGGGAAATAAATAATTACTGTTTTTAGAAAGTTTGTTAGTGCATACTATGTTTGTACATTCTGTTCTGATTGTGATATACAGGATCCGCATATTTGATACATACGGATCCTGCAGATAGCAACCTCTTCTGAAGGAAATAATGTATATTCTTGGTATTTCCGGTCTCTGCAAATCCCAATTAAACATCAAGGAAGTTTTCTCTATTCCCACCATATTCCCGGCCAGAAAATGTTGAGAAAACATCCTGAATGTTTTTGATTTACTTGGACTTTTCTCCAAATTCACAGCTGCCGTATATTGGAGCTTGCCCCCAGTGTAAACGCCTTCTGTAAGTCTTGAAAGCTTTGTTTAAGCCTAAATTACGAATCACCTTCAGGCCTGGGAAAGGTGCTCTCGCACGTCGTGGAGATTTTTTTTACCCGGTGCGGCTGGTCGCAAAAGCTTCCGATGGCTGGGCAGTCAGCTGGTGGCGCGGAAATCAGTATGCACGAGAGATTGTGGCCCCTCGCATAGTTCCAGAGGCAGATTTACGCGACGAGCTGTGGGCAAATTCAGATGCAAGGCGGCAAATCAGGGTATTATCCTCGTCCAGGTTATTTATTCCAAATTTATTCGTGACTCACTCAAGTCTTTCGTAGCTGGGCAAATGGACCCATGCATGTGATGTTCCCATCGGCGAGGACTTGATTGTTGAATTTCGACAATACCCATATACAGAGGAAATCGACAAGGCGCTTCGACCTCACTTCAATGAAATCACAAACCTCCTCGCCACCCCGGATGGGGACCATCCGCATGTACCTGCTGCTGCCTTTGCGCGGGCGAGTCGAAAGGCGAAAGGCAAGGGTTCCCAGATATTGCGAAACGGGGGTATTCCATTTACTGGCCCATTGCAACTCATCGATTGCGCGAGAACAGCCAACTGGTTCTACAACAATATTCCTGGAGCCAAAAACCGAGAGATTGATTGGATTGGCCGTGTGCCTATTGCACACTGTCATACTATTCTAATCGCCAACCGCCATGAAGATGAAATTCTTTCGGAGATCGAGCTAGAAGAGTCATCCCAGTCCGAGATAATGAATATGGCGTGGCACATTCAAACCAGTCGACCAGCCCCTCCATTCACTGACATTGACCACGAGTGTTTGAACACATTCGAAGAGCGCTTATTTGAACAATCTGTTCAGGCCGGTCGAGCGGGGAATTTTCAATGGGGACTGGACGTAGGTCCGCACCAAGACGGTTGGGATCCATATGACAATCTTCCCTATGATTGGAACCACGGAGATCGCGAAGGTAGTGAATCCGAACGGGTTGTGAGTTCATATACTTTTGCGCGTCTGGGTAATGCCTCAGCTTAATTAATGAACACAGCCTGGTCCAAAATACAATGGCCAGATTGAAGATGTTGCCATGTCGGAGGCAAATCAGCGCCCGAAACGAGCCTCAAGGGCACCGCGGAGGGCACCAGGGACTGTGGTTGCCCTAAATTAATCTGACATACGAAACGACGCCCAACTTGTTACGAAATACATATATTTCTTGGTGTGACTTCCATCTTGGTATAAACTAAGCAGAGAACCAGGTGATATCCGGAGGGATTCCAAATCGCTGAAAGGTTGAAACTACATATACGAAATCTCACAGTCCTTCATGTTCAAGTGAATACCGTGTTTTCTACTTTAATCTGATATGCGTAAATCGTGCACCGCTGTATGAGAGCTAGCCCGTTGGTCAAAGTCCCCACAGCATGTGAACAAAGTATTATTTGAATGCGTGCAGGGGGGTGTCATCTGGCCTGGCCCGATTGCAGATAATTATATAATGGAACTGAACAGGTAAGATATTTAGGTGAGAAAAGTGGCTCGAGAGTTACAGCTCTTTGCAGAACTTAGGGCGCAACCCGTTTTTTTTCCGTTTTGGGCGAATTTTGATCCCCGCGGAATGGAACGGTCGCCCCGGGCGGAGTTCTTGTCCGTTTGCCCCGAAAATAGGCTGGTCCGATGCGCATTCAACGGGAACATCGGACTGCCTTCTATGAATTTTAATACGGGGGCAACAGGACATTTTTAGTGCAGAATACTTACAAATTTGATCAAATATTGCTTGTTCCAACAGTGTACTGCCTGCCCTGGCCTGAGTTCTGGCCCGTTTCCTCTGAAAATAGGCTCAATCGATTTTCCTGCTAAATATACATACGACCGCCTCTTCAGACTTCCTACCTACACGATTGCGCGAGTGAGCATCGTTGGGTTTTCTGCATTTGGTCCGATGTTTTCGTTGTCTGGACTGCAACGCCCGCTCCGCAGGCAAATCTCAACAGTTTTCTTTAAAAATTGCTGCAGACAACTCGCACGTCAATTTTGCATACGACTGCGGCTTCGGAATGTTCATGGGTGTCGAAAGGTCGGTGGTTCCGCAGTGATAAGAATGGCTTGATAATGGCTACTCAGGCTCAGAAACTGGGCTGGCGCATCCTGGGAGTCACTTGAGCTAATGTAGTCGCCTTCGCCAGCATCTGGGAGTTCCGCCTTGACCATTTAAACGTTGAGTAAAGGTGCTGCGAGTGGCTTAAAGCCAAAAGGTGAAAGGGTGACAGACGTCACGACTGTGACATGCAGTGATCGATACCAGTGTCGACGCCGTGCGCAGCGACTAGAGGAGTTCCACGGAGATTTTAATGCACAGGGGGGTTATCTGCACCCCATGGTGTGTGGGCGTCGCACAACAGGCCTCTGGGTACACCAGAACTGTGAGGACACGTGTATTGATTATAGAATACATATTCGATCAAAATAGGTGGCTAGAAATTTGTTCAACGGCCTACAAAGATATATCAAAGGCGCAGTCGTATGCAGAATCGACGTGCGAGTTGTTTGCAGCAATTTTTAAAGAAAACTGTTGAGATTTGCCTGCGGAGCGGGCGTTGCAGTCCAGACAACGAAAACATCGGACCAAATGCAGAAAACCCAACGATGCTCACTCGCACAATCGTGTAGGTAGGAAGTCTGAAGAGGCGGTCGTATGTATATTTAGCAGGAAAATCGATTGAGCCTATTTTCAGAGGAAACGGGCCAGAACTCAGGCCAGGGCAGGCAGTACACTGTTGGAACAAGCAATATTTGATCAAATTTGTAAGTATTCTGCACTAAAAATGTCCTGTTGCCCCCGTATTAAAATTCATAGAAGGCAGTCCGATGTTCCCGTTGAATGCGCATCGGACCAGCCTATTTTCGGGGCAAACGGACAAGAACTCCGCCCGGGGCGACCGTTCCATTCCGCGGGGATCAAAATTCGCCCAAAACGAAAAAAAAACGGGTCGCGCCCCAAGTTCTGCAAAGAGCTGTAAAATAATGCACACTGGTAGCAAATGAAGGCAGCACTACCATTCGTGCTAAGATTGGGTGGTCCCAATTGAGGCTTGAGATCGACTGATCAAGGATTGGAGTTGTACTAGGGAAGTGTTGAATCAGAATTTTCTGTGTTTATACGATGTATTGAACCTATTAAACACATTAGGAACGGTTTCCGTAGCCACATGCCCAAAATCTAGTGAATGGGAGAGGATGCGGCAGTGGATGCGTCACTTCTCCCCTTGATGCGGCAGTGCTGCGGCAGTGCTGCGTCAATGATGCGGCACTTTGCGGCAGTTGCGGCATTTTTACCCAGCCCGCAAATTTCGACCAGGGAATTGGAAATTTTGCATTTTTCGCGTCGCAGAGCTGAAAAACGCGATTTTGGGTCCTGCGTGACGAAATTGGTGTTCGACCAAGCCCCGCGTCACGCGGGACAAACGACCGAAATTCGCCATCGACCAAGGGGTGCGTGATGCGTGACGGTCGAATTGAACGAAATAATACAGTAGATTGTGCGTCGTGACTCAGTCGTTTTGGTTGCGAGGTAGGTTCAACGTAGGGCGTTGGATCGGTTGACGCTGACTAGAAGGAGCTTGGAGGAAAGCGCGCAGCGGTCGAGAAAAGTACTGTAATCAGGAACTGGCAGGGATTTTGGCTGGTTCTGAGGATTTTTCAACAACTTCCGGGATCGCTGGTTGGGCTTCCTTCCCTTGGTTATACGAGTTAACGGTGCTTGGTTCGCGGTGGATTGCTTCTTAATGAAAGTCGCGCCACTTTTCTCACTTAGGGCCTGATCGGGTGCACCAGGCTCTCCCCCGAACTTTTTTAGAATCTAGCACAAATGAATATCCCGTCCCTAAATTATTGTGGAATCTGCAACTCAATTATCTTATGAGAGTCTGAGCACTCGGGGTAGCAGACAAATTGTTGTGGCTCATTTGTCTCAGATTCTTGAAATATTCAGCAGATTCTGCATACAACCACAGAATGTGTTGAATGTCCCAAACTCGTAGCTTGCCCGCCACCTCGTCTCGTCTACATTTGAGAACCACTGTATTTCCTATTCTAGGGTGGTTTAGGGACAAATAGTGTGAGAAGATCTGACGCAGAAGGATTCTGGCAGATTCTTGAGAATCGGTTCTGATGCCCCCGATCAGGCCCTTAGGCAAGAAAAAACCTTTTTTGCCTTCACACTTTCTCAATCAAGCATGCACCTTGCCACGAGGAAAAAAAGAGTGGATTTGAGTGGTGCTTGGGAGGAGAGGAGGGAGAAGAGTCAAATTCAGTTGCGAGAACATCATCTGAATCGGTGCAGTTGAGAGTCGCAGGGAAGAAGAAATGACTCGGAGCTGGGAAGTGATTCCTTGAGGATCTCATCACAATTCACTGCACCGTTCAACTCCGATTCACCATCTACTTTGTGCTTCCGCAGGAGCGGTATATAGCTCTCTGCTGGAACAATTCATTGTTGGCCTGATAGCACAGCTGGAAGTGCGTCTGCTTTAACTATCCATGCTAAATGTGCAAATGGCAGAAGACCCTGTTCGATTCGGGGTCGGGTCAGGCGGCTTTCTTAAAGCGCATTTTTTTTCACTGTGAGCTTCTTTTGTTTTTCAGTCTTTCTGCCGTCTGAGTTAGTAGGACTTATCTACCTGCGAACCCAAGAGGGTTTTTCAAGTGACTACGGCACACTTTGCAGCAAGATCTGTGGTTGAACTTGACTTATATATAGATAATTGCGAATGCTCGGTTCAACCAAAAGCAAACCATAATATCACCTCCGAGAAAGAAGGCCATTTTTACCTCGACAGTACTTGAGAGTTTTAACAATGACACAGTCCTGATAGCACAATTGAAGTGCCTCTAATTTGCTAATGGTTTTCATGATCCATGGACATTGCAAGAATCCATCCTGCCAGTGGAGCTTAAATTTGTCCTCTTGAGGAGACTCCTGCAGACAATTGCAAAGAAGAAGAAAGAGAGTATTTATGGGATGCAGATTTGCGGGATGGATGGATGGAATTTGTGGTGCCAAAAAAGAAAATTGAACACCAGTGTGCAAGTACTCACAGAGTGCAAACAATGGGCTGGATGAGGAGAAAATAAACGAACTGCTTCGAATAGCCAAGTGAGCCAGGAAGCTCCTCGAAGCGGGGATTTGTATTTGTAAAAATCAAACTGCAACAGTCGACAACTGACTCAGATGAAGATTCCTTGTGACGAGCCACCGTCAATTTGCGATTCGCCGTTGTCCAGGGACCATTCTGATGCATCCCTCTCACCGTCAACTTTCAAACCAAACTGGTTAACCGTCGTTCACGGATTATGGATAAATTGAACGGCTTCAGATTGTTTAGATTAGATTGTGGTGGTTAGAGAATGGGAAGCTCGAGAAAGGCGGTAGACTCATTGGTGGAAGTTCAACTTGATGGGAACTTGAATGTTGGTGTGGCTTACTAATACAGGTTGTGCAAACAAATGCCGTAAACTTTCTCTTCCACTGCTCCTGGCACCTGCAATGCTCCTGCTCCTTAATCCACATATTTCCGACCAACAGTCGCCCCATTCCAGACCATCACTTCGACCCATGGGTGTCATCCAACTCCTGCGACGACATCAATAATCACAGGAAGCTCTTTGACATTGTCTGGGGCTGTCTCGTCACTATCTTTGCATGCACCTGGGTATCTGTGCACCTGAACATTCCTCCATCTGGGTTGAGCCCGCTCGATCTCTTCTGGCGGAGGCTGAAGACAATGATCATAGCTGTGATCACCCCGGAGCTAGTAGTAGGATTGGCGGCTCGGCAGTTTTTGGTGGCACGTCAATATTCGAAAAGTGTGCTCCATTTCTTGATCTTTATTGTTCTCCTCGTTCATCTCTTTTCCCCAGAATACGGGATTTCCAAAACACACAGTGTCTTTATATCCATGGGCGGATTTGTCTCACGCGATGGCTGTCATCCTGTTACAACCTCGAAGCAGCTCTACAATGTCAAGGAATATCTTGCTGATATCTGTGCCATCGACGGAGAGGACATCAACAATAAAAGAAAAGGTGATGCACTGTCGAAAGGTCTGGCCCTTTCCCGAGTGCTATGGTTTATCACATAGGCTCTGGCGCGTGTCCACCAGCAGCTCCCTGTGACTGAACTTGAAGTTGCCACCACTGCTTTTGCTGTCATTAATGTTTTTATATGGATCCTTTGGTGGAACAAGCATCCATCTTCATCGGTCCACAAGGGTACACACCCTTGAAGGCACCTCTCTCCCGGTCGCTCCTTCTTCCCTCGACGGAATCCCTGAAAATAAAGGTAAAGCTGTTGAAGATTGGAAGACTGGTCGAGGTGCCGCCAGATCATGCTGAACATCTTGAACATCCACCCAGGTGTGTTGTACTGACAACCAGAGCCTGCTACGCCTCCTGCAATCACTTCGGGAATATTTCCCGCCCAACCTGTTGACTACATGAAATTCCTCAAGGCAGATGGCCTCTTTTTTGCGTCCAGGTGCCTCTTTCCAATGCCTTGACTTGGAAAAACCCATCAGAGGACCTTGATCAATCCATCGAGCAGTCGCAGGGTTGCCAACCACTTGAAGACCAATACTCTTATCCGCTCACAGCTTCCAAATTCCAATCTATGGCAGGGGAATATGTGGGAAGGGCTTCTCGGCAGATTAGTGGGCAGGTATCAACATTCAATTACAACCCTGCATCATACACTTCACTTCCTTCATTCTGGTCCTCAGACGATGATGGAGTAGAGGCCATTCGTTCCTTTTTCATTGAATGCTTTGTCAGCAGCGTGTTAGGGGCCATCCACTGTACAGCTTGGAACATGCACTTCCTGTCCACAGCCGAAAACTGGATCTGGAGGTCCGGTTCTTTGGTAGTGACTGTGATTCCCGTGATTCTATTCCTTGCACTCGGTGCCGCAGGGGTGTTGGACAACATGGATGACCTGCTGAATACTGATGATCCTCATGGTTCTCCACCCGTTGTGACCATCTTGTTGTGGTTTTCGCACCAATCCTATTGGCGGTGCCAGTCTACGTTTTGCCTGCCTCTTCCTCATCATACTTTCTCTTATTTTGTTGCACATGGTTCCACCAGATGCATCTGCCGACATCAGCTGGAGCGTTTACATTCTACATCTATAGGTCGCTGTGCATGTATGTGAATATATTTTCCCATTACATTCCGTGTCGTGCAGAGCAACTCCTCAGTTTGCACCTCATAACAAGTTGATATGTGTCTGTCTTGAAGTTTCACCCACTTCAAACCCTACTCAGATCACTGATAGTAATGTAGCGAGTGATTTCTGTGCAGAAGAGTCTTCTGTGACTCGAGTTTAGAATGCACATGAGGGCCAAAGACAAGAAGAAGTGATGTTATTATCACAATCTCCTGGTCGATTTGACTTCTATCTTGTTTACAAGGGTGGTGTGTAGATATCTCTTTCTGCAGAAACTGCTTACTATGTTGGCCTGGTTGCACAGTTTGAAGTGCATCTACTTTGTACAAGATGTTGGGAAAGCTATGTAATCAGAGTCAGGTCGTTGGTCTACTTTCTCTTCCTCTTCCCTCCCCACTGGCCATACAAGATTTCATGTCTGCAACATCACAAGACCTCTTCGAGAGGCTACCGCACACCTCTCTGCATTTAGCTAGGCTGCAGACTTTGTGGTAGAATTGATGATGTCAGTTTCTTTCTTTTCTTCAAATCATTGATTCATAGTATGAATGCGCACACTTCAAATCCAAATCAGAAAAACCAGCTTTACTTGCACATATACCTTTTGAATGACAATGAGTATTGTTGGCCTGAAAGCACAGCAGAAAGTGTGTCTGCTGAACCTAGCTTGCCTAGGTATTCTGAGCAGAAGGCCCTCGTTCAATTCGGGGTCAGGCCGTTCGGCTTTCTGAATGTGACTTTTTTGAAATCACTTGTCCGCAATAGATAATCCAGACTGGCGACGCTCGCGAAATTCCGTCCTAGTGCTATAACACAGACTACGATGGGCAGATGAACTCAGACTTTTTTGGACAAAACTACCATTAGCGAGCTGGCAGTGTGTCTGCTTCATTTCTCGAACCCATAGGTTAATCTTCCCACGGTTCGATTTGGTCTCGATTATAACAGGGACTGCAAAGAGGGAGCGCATCTGCGGTGCCAAAAGCATAAATAATGTAATAAGTAGAGGAACGAGTGGAATGCTTGCACGTAGCTCTCGACAATTGGAGCCACCAAAGCCATCGGAATTGGTGTCGGTGTAGACATGATCAATAAAATGATAAATCCGGTGTCCTTGGCGGCGTTAAAGCTAACACTTATATTGGAGATTGCACTGCAGGCGAGAATCCAATACGCCGACTCGGAGGTGTATTATCAATCATGCAAATCCAAACAAAGATAGCAACACGGCGATGAGGGGGGCCCAGGATACCAGCGGTTTCAAGCTGACTAGAACACGATTTCGGATTGACACCCAAATAATTATAAACCATGATCGCCGCTTAAATATGCAGCACACCGCTCGGCAACCATAACCACTGGCGCCTGCAGATGGCAGGCAGAGATTTCCGGAAAGATGCTGGCGTCAGCGTTTCGCAGCCCTGCGACATGAACCCGTAGTCGGTCACCAACAACCCCCATTTGTGTTTCCTCCGCCATCCGGCAGGTCGACGAATTGTGATATGTTGTGCCGACATGCGCGTTTGTGAACGCATCCAAATCCTCTTCGCTTTCGCTGACGGGAACAGAGAGATCATGAAGCGGGTAGCCGTCTGCACGCACAGCCCGTCCAAGAGCAAGCACCATTTGCAGGCCTTGCAGAGCGGGAGGCGGTCCTCTTCGCTGGAGAGAGTACCAAGGTCTCAGAGCGGTTTATCGTGCACATTGGGAGAATCTAGACGCACAGAGCCGGCCGATTTTGGCCGCAGAAGGGTACAAATATACGTGAATGACCCGTCAGACTTGCCAAGCTGCGGTGCTCGAGTACCCGAGGGGTTCACCGGCAGCAGCATGATCTCGAGGTTGGGGATGTTCAAAGAGTCGTCTCCGTTAAGATCCTTCTCTGCATCGGCTGCGATGGTGTGGGAGTTGTCGTCGAGGAGGGAGGAGCGCAGAGTGATGCTGGTTTGTTGAGTCAGGCTTCCAAGTAGTCCCTTCCCCGTGAAGAGATATTTGAGAAGTTGCCAAACCACGGTCAGAGGACTTTGTAAAAGTACATCGAGGCTATCTGCTAAGGGGACTTTTGTAGATGATAGGGACACTGATATGGTCTTGCTTTGAATTCGAAGGTGTCAGCCGGCAGAATGGGATGGAGAAACGACCAAACTTACTAAATGGGTGCCAACGCCTGGAAGATGTTTTCACGAATCCCGTGTTCCTTGAGATGATCTGCTGGACCGATACCACTTTGAAGGATCAGAATATGTTAAGAGCGGACAGAAAGAAGCTACCTTGTCAGTAATATCTGGGGGGTGAATATGGCACCAGCACACATGATGACCTCGCGATCAACAGAAACACGACGCGATGTACCTCCGGTAATCGACTG